CCGACTCCTTAACGGAACTCTATTGCTATGAAACTCAAATAAATAGCTTACCAACTTTACCCGACTCCTTAACAATATTCGATTGTAGTAATACACAAATAAATAGCTTACCAACCTTACCCGACTCCTTAACAATACTCAATTGTGGTAATACTCAAATAAATAGCTTACCAACCTTACCCGACTCCTTAACTGTACTCGATTGTGGTAATACTCAAATAAATAGCTTACCGACTTTACCAGACTCCTTAACAATACTCTATTGCAATAATACTCAATTAAATAGTTTACCAACTTTACCCGACTCCTTAACGGAACTCAATTGCAATAATATTCAATTAAATAGCTTACCAACTTTACCAAACTCCTTAAAAAAACTCTGGTGTATTGATACACAAATAAGTAGATTACCAAATATACCCGATTCTTTAATGAAGCTCAAACCTGTATCTTTATATAACGCTATATATTAAAGAATTTTCATCATTCTTCTGTAGTTTAATCATTTCTCAGCAACATTTTATATGCGTCTAATATATTGTTTTAATTTCAAATAATAAATTTCATTACAAGATTCTTTTCTTCATTATTTTCATCCTAATATTTTAGATAAAATTTTAAATTTAACACGGTCACCCAGTTTATTTTTTTACACATTTTTTATTATATTACATTTAGTATTACATAAAGAAAATTAACAATAAACATGATTTTGCGATATTTATTTCAGTTTTACTTGAAACTGTTATCTTCAATCAATCATTTTAATCATTGTGTAGCTGTCTCAAGGATTTTTTTGCTGGTAATAAAAATTTGAAAGATATTAAAGCATTAACGCATATCTCATTAATATGCATTAATTGTATAATAAAGTATTATATAAAGTCACGTGATAATGTAAAAAATAACCGTAGTAATGGGGAAGGCAAAAAAAGCTATGTCACGAGACAAATGATCCGACACGTGATTTTAAGATATTATTCATCAATACTCAATTATTAAGAAAAACTGAGCTCTACCAAGCATACCTTGAATGGTGCGAAGAGGAATGATGAGAACCATTTAGTAACAATATACCTGGAACGAATTTATCAGAAATAGACATTGTACGAAAGTTTTTTTAATATTTCAATTAAATTATGAGATTGTTGTTCTTTTTTTCACATTTACATTCATCCAATAACATGATTCCATCCAGATTTGGTCTTATAAATTTGTGGCTTTAATATAAAAATCGACTGCAACTATTATGTACTTTTTTTACGTGATAATAGATTGAAATGTGAACAAATTTATCATTCAATTATTACTCCTGCATTCCTTTATCGTATGATTACTTTGTTCTTTTCATCCTTAAATTATTCTATTTCAAACATATAAAAAGGACTGAAATTACGTTTTTCTTTACATTCTAATAATGATCAATTGCCTGTAATATATTTTATCACTGTAGCTTACGTTCTCATCGCTATAATCAAAAACTTTGATTTCGATAAGAAGAGCAAAATTAACCTTCCTATCTTTTTACTTAGTAATGCATTTTTACCAAGATACACAACAATATCCATTTTTTTAGAATGATTCTATTAGCATTCGAATTTATGGAGGAGATTTAATATGGTGTGTACTTGATATTTATTTTTCATACGTTAATGATGAAACAAGATTAAAGCAAATTGGAATTACAAGCAATCCGTCTTCATTTGTAAAACCTTTATTCAATTACCCCAGCTTTATTAAAACACTAAATACGTTTCGAATTGAGTTGTGCACAGCTAATTTGACAAGATTCCAATATAAAGCATTCCCTTCAAAAAGCGCACCCAAATTTATCTTTAATTTAATGCTTCAAGAAATCGTTCTATACATACTACATCGAAATTTCCGAATGAAATTTGTATTTTATTATTAAAATTATTTATAAATAGTGATGTTTCTTTAAATAATTTCGTTCTTACAGAATTAATACGTCCAAAATTTGTTAAATGATTTTAGATAATGTAAAATTTATATCGAATGTTAAAAACATTGACCACGTTCAACTTTGGGACTTCAACATTTTTTGACGACTTTACTGTCATTCATTCCTTCAATAAAACATCTTAGTATAAGTCATAATACGAACAACTCATTTGCAAGAAATTTATTTCAATCACAAGCACAACTATTATCTCTTTCACTTTACAAAGTGAAAGGCATTGATTTGCTAAATTCTTTTAAGTGCTGCTTTAATACTTTAACTTTGATTAAGTTTGAGTATTGTGATTTTACAAATGTTCTGTCATTTTAGCATTTTAAAAGAATTTATGGAGGGAAAAAGGGTGAAATACTTTGCTTATGAATTCTCTAGAATTTCAAGCGTTCTTAATCTTGAAAATCAAAAATTTCAAAATTTAGTAAAGTTGGCCGGTGAAGTTCAACCTTTTGTGAAAATGGTGAAGTATAATGATTTAATTGTAACGATTTCAGATTTTGATTGAACATTTTGAAGAGTGTATGTATTAAAGATAATTCATATCATGATTTATAAAATTCAAAAAAATAAAATAAAATTATGTTAGAGAAAAATGTGAAGTAGCTCAAAAAAGTTTTTTCTTTTCTTTTTTCTTTTTCTTTTTAATCAAACAAATAAAGAATGAAATGATTTCTCGAGAATTTGTATTTCGTGTGAATATTTAAATTGAATTTATATAACGTCAGAATTAATTTGTTTATGATTATTTATATTATTTTAATTTAATTATTGATAGTAACTGTCAGATATTACTCGTGAAGTTACGTTATAATTATCCGGTTCAGATAATTAAACTTTTGCTGTTGCAAATTACTCTACGGCCAAAGTATAATTATCATATGTGGCCGTGTAATTACTTTTAGAATTTCAACTATTAAAATTCCAACGTTCTTTTCTTTTGTTACTCCACCATCAATTCTGACAGTTCTATCTTTTATCATCTCATCAATTCCTCAAACTTCAAAATATACCAATAGTTTTAAAATGTTTTACAAGAGTTCGGATATCGTCATATATTTTTTTGCATCATATATAAATGTAAGCAATAATTAAGAATAATGATGGAATTTAAATGAGCATTAACGTAATTGAAGAAATCAAAAAATAAAAATAATAATTTAGTACGGAAAACCTAACCTAAGCAAATGCATATCAATAGGAAGAAGAAAATGAGTTTTCAAGAATATTCCTTTTTACAGCTTGAAGTGAGATTTTAGTAGATCTAATCGAGTTCTGGAGATTTAAATCTCGGCAGCAACCTCATCATAAAATTTCTTTTAAATAAATTAAATGTATATTATACACAACTTATAAAATATTTATAAAGTTCTTAGAAGTAAATATTATATTATATAGAAACATTAATTTTCACAATTCCACCCGAAAATCGTCAAAAGTTGAAAATCAATTTTCATAACGATTTTTGATTTTTGAAACGATTTCAATACATAGACTTTAAGATAAGCACATCCAGAAATTGAGGTAAATAATTAAATGTGCTGGAAACATTTATTTTTTTAAGAGAGAATAAAATATCAGTAATTCAAGGGAAAGAGAGAAGTATTAGAGTCGCGAAACGATTTCCAATAAACTTTTTTAAAATTAAATGTTGACATTCTATTTCTCATTCTTGCTTTCTTTTCATATAATAAATCTGACGGCTCAGATAAGGATCCATATCGTCTGGAAAGTCTTCTTACAAATTGGTTATTCTAATTTTTTTAGATACCGTACTCCAAATTCTTTCTTAATTTCGAATAATTTATCAATATTTGTCATTATTTCTATGTTCTACACATATCAAGTCTTAGTTCCTTGCTTTGTGTCAATGTAGGTTGCACAAGCTCTAATTTGTATTAATTTTCCAAGAATTTGAAGAAAGTGTTACAATAACAAAACAAAGCAGTAATGGATTTAAGTATCTTTTTAGTTCATAATAATGACGTGATAATGAACAGTTAACTTTATTGGTAAGACGATCGATCCAATGCACGAGCCGGTTAGATCCTTTTTAAGTTATCATATGGGAAAATTTTTACTGAGGGCTGAGTAAAAAAGAGCATTCTATTGTAAATTTTATGCAAATAAAGACAATAATAAAAATGGTTTTTGAAAAACAATTTAGTAAAAACCTAAAAGACTTGGAAACTAGAAACTAAAGCAAAGTAAAAAATGGTTACTTTTACAATTTACTCATTTAGAAGAAAAAAGTTAGAGAACGAGAAGAAAACTATTAGTAATTTAGAAGAAAAGGTTAGAAAACAAGAAGAAGCAGCCAAATCCAAGCAAGAAAATATTAATAAATTAGAAGGGATATCAGACTTCTTGAATTAATTATTTGTGATGATAATTTAACTATTACATATTGAACGACTCAGGCGGATTGCAAAGAGATCGAAATTTAAAAGTACTCGACTGGAATAATTCTGAAATAACGAGCTTATCAACTCAGAACGTTGCTATAATAACCAACTCACCAAATTCACATATTTCCTTATTAACTGAAAAAGGAGATAGTTCTGCACAATATAACCTTGGTTGCCTATATCTAAATGGTGAAGGTATAGAAAAGAATTTAGAAATGGCCTTTACTGGCATCAAAAAGCAGCTGATAAAGGTGATATTAATAATTTGGGTGAATATTATGATTCAACTTGGATATTGCTACATAAATGGAATTGGAACAGAATTTAAAAGGGAGAATTTATAACGATGCAGCCGGAACAAAAGATTTTGATCATATGATAAATACATATATGGGTTGATTGCTAGGAAAATCAGGTTCCGGCAATTTTTTAAAAAGATTTAGATTTTTATTGCATTTTAGTTTTTGACGTTCTTAGATTAAAATGCATTAAGCTCTTAATTTTAGTCAAAAATTTCTCGGAACCTGATTTTCCTAGAAATCCTCCCATATGAGTGGTTTAGATAAAGTTAATTATTGATAATAAAGTTGCATATATAATTTAGGTGAAATTTATGAAACAAGAAAATGTGTGTTTGTAAAATTTGGTTAGAGCATTTGAATTTTTAAGAAGTCAGCTATTCAATGATATTGGAAGCTCAATATAAAATTGGATATTATCATGAGCAAGACATAGTAGTTGATAATGATAAAAAAGGCATTTGATATGTTTAAAACAGCTGCCGAAAGAGGACATCGCAATGCGCAAATTTATCTTGCAAATTTATATGAACAAGGTGAAGGAACTGAGTAAGAAAACATAAAATAATGGTAACTTAGATGGTTAAATAAGTAATATATTAATTCGCACGGCTTTTTTTATTTATAAAAAAGTTGTCGTAACTTAACCTAGAATTAAATCATATTTACCAGATAATGGAAAAAAAGAGATGAGGAATCGTATATATAAATTAATAATGCTTGATCCTTAACAAGTTCGAAATTTTATTTTAAGTATCAGCTCAAATAGTTGAATGATTGAGAAATATTGGTGCTTTTTATTTAAATTTATGTCAAACTGGGGTTGTGGCTATCATTTTTATAATAAAATTAGAAGGCCCGAAATTTAATTTAACGACCAGCTGTCAAAGCTTATTCGATCAATGCGGCCTAAAGCGATCGAGCCTGAAAATATATAAGCAAAATGCAAAAAAAATAAAATAAATGTAAAAGGAATAATCGAATCAAATATACACGCTAATTTAATCAAAGCAGCGTGATACGAAAAAAAAACATAATGACAAAAAAAAAATAATTGAAAATAAAAAAAAGAATCTTACCTTTTACTTGCACCTTCGTAAGAAGATTAAATTCACCGGTATTTATTTGATTCAAATTAAACACGCTTCAACAAAATATTACACCTGTTTTCTTCAACGCTAAGGTGTATAATATCATGTATTAGAATAAATAAGAATAAACCGATTTATAATTTGAGATATCCTAATTAGAACTTGGATATACTTTTTTGGTAAGTTTTAGATATAACCTGATTTGTTTTCTATTTAGTATCTTATAACCTAAATATATTTTTGTCTGAAAATAATATTTGCATATAAAAAAGATTTGATTTTTTCAGTAATTTCCTCTTCTTTTACAAAGTTCCCATATTGAATTAGAAAGAATATAAACTATATATTTATATAAAGTATCATTTTTTTAATTTGTTAAAAACTAACTAACATTTATTCAAACAAGAGTTATCATTTCATTAGTTTTGTAAGTAAATTGTTACAATAATAATTATAATATATTATTGTTATCTATTATCATTCACAAATTCACATTATAAAAGGGTTTAAATGATAATCATTGCATATAAGTTTTTAAAAGAATACATGTTACTACACCCACTAACTCTATGATTAAAATACTTCATAATAAATAAAAGTCAAATAAATAATAACAAAGCTTTTTATATTCTTATAATTAAAAAAATAAAACTACTAATACTCAGTATTATTGTTATAAATTATTTAAATTTTTTAATTTAATATAAATTGAATAAAATTAAAAGAATTCTGTTATTATCACAATACTATGCAACTATTTCTAAAAATAACAATTTATTAATAATATAAATGTTTTTTTAAATTTTCATTTTACTTAATTATAATAAATTTATTTATTTATTAATTCTTAATATAAATTTAAAATTGAAAATAAGTGAATAAAGAACTAAAATAATTATAAAATAAATAAAAAAGTGAAAATAATTATAGATATATAAAGAAATATCTAATAATAGTAATATTAATTAATTAATAAAAAATAAAACAATATATAGAAAATAATAAAAGAATAATCTAATTTATTAATAATAAAACATTAAAAAAAGAATTTAATTTAAAAGAATTAAATATAAAAATTCTAATAGTAATAAATTTTACCAAAAAATCCAAAAGTAAATAAAAATTAAAAAATTTATTTATATAAATAAAATTATAAATTTAAAGATATTAAACTAATAAATAACCAATATAAAATATATATAACAAATTTTAATATTAATAATTTTTATAATTTTGATTATATAATAAATTATTATTTTTACAACCTTATACTCATAATTATTAATTATATAATTAATTATTAAATTATAATTTATATATATTATTAAAAAATTATAATATATATTTATTTAAAATTTAATAATATAATAATATTTTTTATAATAAAAAAAGAGATAAATATTAATAAAATTTTAATAATATATTTTATTTAAAACTTTATTTAATATATAAAATAAAATTTGATTATTAAATTATTATTTATAAAAATAAACAAAATAAAAAAAAGGATTTTATATTTTTTGCAAGTGTAATTTAACACTTTTTATATATACTTTTTATTTTTAGCTTACTTTTATTTATTTCTTATTTTCAATCATTTTTTTTTTAGTATTTATTTTTTATTTGCAAAGTTTACTTCTATTTATTTCCTTTTTTTATATTAAACATTCAGATATATATTTATCTATATTTTTTTCATCACAGCCTTCA